AATTTACCAAGATTTCCTTTCCCAGATGAATAAGCTGACCATTCCCGAGCCTTACAGCCTATAATACTCGTTGAACTTCTACCATCTCGATCAAAGGCGAGGGGCTGTTCTAATTGTTGGACCCCGTCGTCTGCGTTCCAAACCAGGGTGTAACTTCTCCGTCTTGTGCTTCCTTTTCCAATGACCCCTGACTATGTCTAGCCGGATGTGCTCGTACTCGCATTCAGGATATGGACATGCTATTTTCGAGACGTTCTCTTGATTGCATCCTTGATCGTGCTTCCTAAGCCCAGAGAGCGTCGCGTAGGATTTAGTGCAGTTTGAAACTTGGCATCTATGCACTTGTCTCGAAAGGACCTGGCTATTTCCAGTTTCCGATCTATCAGTTACGCAGCCTCAAACGGCGGACAAATGGGACTAGAACCTTACCCTTCATGTGTTTCCGACCTCGCCCGCCCTTGCCTTATCTCCCCGTGCGATTGGTTGGGGGCATTCATGCTTGTGAGACGGACGCTGGAGAAATCGTGGATCCACTGACGAAACCTCTCATTCTCACGGCCGGCCTCATTGACCTCCTATATATATATGTCAGAATTGTATCTGGGGAAAACTTCCAATAGCAAGAACAGATCTTACGCGAGAGACGGTGACCAAATATTCCTTTACATCTTCAACAGTCCCCAGGCTCCCCAGGACAACGAACTTCTTGGCCACTGACAACCAAGCCAAACAAACCTCGTCTCCTGTGCCGGACTTCTTCATCGGATCAAGCATCTCTTTGCGTAGTCTCCTTTCGACCTTTGATCTCTCACTGGCGTATGCGGAGCCTCGCCTGGCACCGTGCACGGTCTTGCCACAGCCTGACAGTCGATAGAAGAAGTCTCCAATATCTCGAGAGAATGCTAGTACAGCTGAAATCATTGAAGTGTATTGCATGTTACAATCCACGTGGTTGCTCTCTCTGGTGATATCTGGAAGGGTGGTGTTGAACCCTTCTATGTCAATCTTGGGGCCGAGATCAGCGCCGTGTTCAGCAGATAGCCATGACGTGGATATAGGGGGTCCGCTGATGGACGAGAAAGTTTCCATAGGAACGTCGTCCAGTGGAAAGTCGATAGAAAAGTATTCAACCGCTCTTGGGTCGACACCAGATGGCTCAGGGGCTGAGGGGGTGTCATAGGGGCCTGATGCGAGTACATCTCCGAAACTGCTGAAACCTTCGAGACAGTACGACGTTTCTTGAAAGTGAGAGGTTTCGTCCACAGTATTCGTGGTGTCTGGCGACCTAAAGTAGAGCTGGTTAGAACCACTGTGGCCATTTTTCGCATCGGCTGTCGTTGTTCTTGGATGGTCTGAAGGCCACATTTCCAGCGCTACGGATATGAAAGCCTGCCGATTGTTGATATTCGGGATACAACCTCCCCATTGCTGGAGATCAGAAAGGGGATTGGTCACAACGATCCGGTCTCGTTGCAATAAGATTTCCGAGATCACATCGGAAAATGAGGCGAAAGCGATGATCTCGGCAAGAGTGTCGGGGATAACGAAGTCCAAAGCATCTCGGTGTGCCAGAATGCCCATTTTCCCTAATCCTCTGGAATTGCCGTAAATCCCTGGAAGCTTCTGGACGGTTTCAGAGGATGATTTAGAAGCTATCGCTTCAAGTCTTTCGTACTGGGTCTTCAATCCTTTCTGTAAGCTTTGGAGGTCCGTCCATGCCTGTCGAATATTCTCGGTTGAGCGTTGTGGATGTTGAACTTGGCCTGTCGAAGCGGAAACCGTGAATTGGCCTGCGAATTGGTGGCCAATATCATTAAGAATAGAATTCTCTCTGAGTGGCTGTTCTGATTGCGGATTGGTATCGGCAGTGTCCAGGCTATCCCGCCGCTTGTCGAGGTATGCAAGGCCTGCAAAAATCCCATCAATGTCAGCTTGAGCTCGTTGTCTTCTCTCGCTGGTATCAAGAGGTTCCACGCTAATAGTGATGGGTCCGTCTTTGTCGCCAAAGAAGCGGCTCAATCTTTCGCGGCGTAAGCGCGGGGCTTCGGGGGTCGCTGCCAGGATGTTGTGTTGATCCGCCTCCATTTTTAGTATGCTCGAAGTCAAGACCCGGTGCCTCGAAGTTGTCTTTCGTGTTGCCTGAACAAAGCAGTGGCTAAACAATGTATTGGTCGCGGACAAACCTGTTGCCTTATCTCGTTCATAAGTAGGCGATCAAGAAAGAACATGGCCTCTTCAATTATGTTGGCAAGGAAGGCGGGCTTGGTTGATTGTTCCTCCACAGACAGCATTTCGACGGAGGAACTCTTCACGGCTTGGTTGGGCATCAGGTTTGTTGGTCCTGGTTGGTCCGGTTCCCTTTGGTCCTCGTTGGTCCGGTTCCCTTTGGTCCTCGTTAGTCCCCTATGGACCTGTTTGGACCTGTTTGGACCTCGGGGATCTGGAAAAACGCTAGACTGCTTCAGTGATACTGCAGGGTCAGCCTCTGAGTGCATCAATCAATATGCTCATTGGGCGCATCCGCCCCAAGTAGGTGAATGCGCCCGGCTAAGGTAGGTGAGTTTAAGCATCACGTGCTTTGTATTGGAACTCCATGTCTGCTGTTGTGGTGACCAGCTAGTTTTTGAAATAGCAACGAGATCAAGTCTATCACGCCTTCCCAGCGCTGCCGCAAATATCGATCCACCTCTCCGTCTCCTTCTGCAGGATGTTCATGCCATCCTCCATCAATTGCGTCAGTGGCTTGCTGGCGTTCTCCCTCAAATGGACGTTCCAAACCTCCAGAAGCAGCTTATTGACATTCAACTTGATGGCGCCGTTGTCGATGCATTGTCTCATGATCTCTGGGCTGAAGTCATTGGTGCCATGCAAAGCCATGAGGACGCGGTTGTTGATTTGCTTGTTGACATTTGTCAATCGCTGGTAATCGAGTTGAGGGCCCTTGGGACCGTAGTCTCCGTGAATGTTGCCGATGCTCGGTGCCAAGAGATCAATCTCGGCATCGATGAAATCTTCAACCTCTTCAGGGCTCGTGAAAAGAGCTATTCAAGTCAGCGGATGAGTTTCATGCTGCACAGGCTCCGAGCCTTACCTTCCAAGTCGCCGGTGTCTGCGATGCCGTCTTCTCCACCGTTGATGCGTCCACTTTCCGCCTCGACAGCAATGTTGTGGTCGTGACAGACTCTTGTCAAAACCTTGGTCTTGGCGAGATTCTCCTCATGATCGTAGTGGCTCATATCGACCATGATTGAGTCGAATGGCAGCGTTCCTGCGATGTCGCGGATTTGCTGTTCGTCTTGGGCGTGGTCGAGGTGCAGGGCAAGTGGGACCTTTGCTGATTTGATGGCGGCGGCGACGGCCCATGGGAGAGTCGGGAGCTGCTTGACAGTAAGGGGGAACAAGAGAATCAGCATAGGCGATTTCTTGGCCTCCGCTGCGCGAACAACGGCAGTGAGATGCTCAATATTGTAGCTGAAATATAAAATATCAGTACCATACCCTCATAATACGTGTTATGGAAGCTGATAATACTTACATGACCACGGAGAGAACTCCATATTTGCCCTCAGTCGCGGCTTGGAGAATCTGTAGACTGCGATTTTGTGACTTGCTTTCCGCCCAGGACGACATTTTGATGATTACGTGAGGTGGATGATTCACTGAAGCTGAAAAATAGTTGGAAGATCAGCAGAGCAAACGAGTTCTTTAGTTCAAGCTTTTGACATGCAGACAACGATCACTACTTATCATTAGACCTGGATGAGTTGTGTCGTTGTGAGCTCGGCGGAATGGCCGATGCCCCGCGTTCCATCGCTGAGAACCCCGCGACGAGAGTTTCGGGAGTGGGACTGGGGAGTACGTACCTAAAGACGCCCTTCGATTTCCGGAAATGCAGTGAGAACGCCGCAATTCTCACCTCCGCCATTTCGAGACCGAGGATGGGAACTCGAAGATCATGAATGCTTCAGGTTCTCGAGGAGAAATCCCACTCTTCTCAATTTTGCGCTGCTCAAGTTGCGGCCACCTTGAGCTAAGCTAGATGCTGCCCTACAAGAATATCGACAGAAACTGACGCGAGTCGGTTGAATCCCGATCGCCAGCGAGCTGCTGTGCTCTCACGGAACTTCCGTACCGTCAATATTTGACTGCAATCGTTAGGTACATGCAGCAAGGCCTGGTCGACTGACGAGAAAAGCCGTCGACTCCCACGTTCTCCTGCTTCATTTCAGAATGTCCCGCTTAGAGCAGATGACTGCGAGCGCTCACCATCCTCAATGTTGATGGTCGCGCGACTCACTTCGGATACGCGGCACACCTCACTTCAGGGCGATTTTAGCGGGCGAAGCCGCCAAGTCCTAAGTTGGCATTCGACTCATCCAACTCCCAGACACGCAACCTCTGAGTGTGTCACAAACCTTCTGGGATAGTCGACCATACAGACTTTATGAGTATGAGGCTCTTGTGAGACGTCTTAGCATTCTCCATCTCTTTATGTTGCATTCTCACAATGATCGAGTGTTCACACACAGTCGCACCTCAGGGCTGAGGCCCCGATGCCTGTCTAAGCATAGCCGCCGTTGCCTGTGGCCTCTATTGTCCAGGTGATGGTCGTAGCTGACCACGAGGAGTTAGCGTAGGCTGATCCTTCTGCACGCTACCCGCACACACCGCGCAACCTCCAATCTGAGGTGAAGGTCCTCTGAGGCTCGGTCCGCAGCTTGTCTTCAGGACTAGGGGAAATTGAGGCTGGTGAACGAGCCAAACTGCCACCGTCAGCAATAATGATGCAGCCTGGTCACGCAGACTCACAGGGGTTCGGTCGCCTTGGTGGCTGCATAAGCAAACAGGCGTCCGGTATGATGACTGCGCTGTCGAGAATTGAAGACAAACAGAATGAGCTTGGCAAGGATCTCATTGTTCCTTAAGCGACAGTGTCCCAGGTCGCTTTTCGCAAGAAATCTCCATGTCGTTTCCTCGGTAGATCAGAGTGATGAAGCACAATGTCAGAGTACAAGGACTGGACGCGCGAGACTGAGAACGCGGTCCTCGACGAAGTAGCCGCCGCTCAGAACGACAGCCCCGAGCGCACCGACCCGCCTCAGACGTTGCCGCCTGGCCAGCCATCGGAAGACACGCAAGTTGATAGAACCGAGTCGCCTCCACGACCTAGTACTTCATCACATTGGGAACCCAGACCAGGCTTCGCGCACATCGACGGCGATGTCAATGGACGTGGGTACAACGAGACTTTGGTCGACATCGTCTGTGTGCCGTGTCCCGGAGCCGACCCAGTCGAGACATGGGCCCGCGACCCACTGCCGGAGGGATACTTCGGACGGGCCGCTGATGTGCCGCCGACTGCGTTGAAAGAGCTCGCGGGAGCTAGTATTCTGTCACCGACGATCAACCGACATCTTCCCAAGGCGACCCATCTGTGGGTGAGGCAGGGGATTCGGAAGGAGGTTAGCGAGGCTCGCGTGCTTCTCTACCGTCATCGCGAGTTAATTGAGGGGGTTACCCTTGAAGAGCTTGCGAATGATTTGATTGAACAAGTTTGGAACACGAGATATGGCAACGTGAGTGTTTGACAACATTTCTTCTTGAGATCCACGGGATAACATAGCTTCAGCAACGGTCTCGTCCGTTGTTCTTCATCGCGCATAGTGTTGGCGGCTTAGTTGTCAAGCTGGCTCTTTTGAAAGCAACCAAGAGCGAGTATTTCAAACCATTTATGTATAACTGTCATGGAGTTACCTTTTTCGGTAAGTTCGACGTCTTATTTGAAGACGCCGGGATACGTCTAGATGCTGATGCCGGTATAGCAACTCCGCACAAGGGCTCAAGTTACCTGTCAATGAACAACTTGGAGGACAGTATTCGCCACCTTCTTCGCCTCCAACGACCACTTCCACGCTCAATCTCCAACAATTTGAGACTAGGCCACAAGCCTCTTCTCAAGATGGACGAGGAATTCTCGACAATCGCAAGCGAGCTCAGGATATGGTCCTTCTATGAGACCATCGACTCCCAGCTTTCAGGCTCTGGGTCTACGAGTAGAGGCTTAGCGAAGGAAGTTCGATTCGGCGCCCCCATTGCCTCCATAAAGTCATCATTACTTGGCGTTAGGCAGGAGCGGGTCTTCTCGTTGGACAGCGAACATGCCAATTGCGCCTCTTTTGGTGAGGGGAACACAGAAACGATGAACACCTACCTACATGAACTCTCTGTAGCGGTTCAAAAAGCTACAGAACTGAGCTCCCAGTACATTCACACTCCGCTGAACCTCAAGAGACATGTTAAGGTCGAGATAATTGGCTTCTATGAAGACCCAGATGCAGACATGGAGTCCGCCATTCGTCTTTACTTCACAAAGCTTCATCTCCAAGAGTTTCTGGACAAAGGTCCTGAACGATGCCTGGAAGAACGGCTGAGAAGAAGCACACTCCGGCCGCGGTCCGATCCCAATCCGCCCCATCCAAGCCAGGCAGACTCACAACACAGTTCTCATGGCCTGGGAATTATGGCTGGCTTCCAAGAGCTGGGGCAAAAGATATGGCGAGCTGGCTCGGACGCTGGGAGTCGGCCCAAGAGCTCCGACTCCGAAAGTCAGGGCTCGCCCGGCATCGTCGTCACTCGTCCATCCATGGCTGGAGGCTCTAATTCGATGCCTGTGGATACTCTACGGCGAATGCAAAGCCTCAAGGTCCCGGCCTTGTCTCCGCCGGGGTTCAATCGGCCATCCAGTCGAGGTAGCAACGCCGACAGCACGAGGTCAGATCCAACAGAACTTGAGCTGTCGCCGAAGACGCCAGATCCCGAGCCTTTTGCATCAATAGGTGTAGAGAAGAGCTATTCAGAGCCACTTTCCAGACGACAAGACCGGTACTCGAGGGCTTCTGCCTTGGAGGATCTGACGGCTGGGTTTTCAAGACCTGACCCGACCGGTAGAAAGTTTATGTGGATTCATACTCCATTCACCAATCCCTCTTGGGTCAAGGTAAGATCGGGACCGCAATTCCTCACTCGGCCGAGCTAAATACCGCAATACAGGATGTTTTCAGTGTCCTAGCCAACCCCAATGACCCAAGTTTCGTGAAACTCTTCAACCATGATAACTGGGCATCGAAGCATGTCATCGGAAGACACTCTCAATCGCAAGCATCGTTCGTGAAACCGGCCTGCAACATCATTCCCCTCAACTCAGGTGAGCTTTCAAACTAAATGAGTCGGTGTAACGTGAGCTAATTATGTCAAAAGCTCCCTCACCTCATCCGTCCCCTAACCTTTCTGGCCGTGTCAGTCCAGCTGGGCCTTCGTCAGTGTATCTGTACATGTACCTTCCGTTCCTTCACTTCGACACGTATATCGACATAGTCCGCCGACGCAATTTCATCAAGCAGCGCATGCAGCATGGTAGGTCTCGTCCGGTTCCACGAGAAATTGCACAGCTGGACTCTGCGGAGCTTCGAATGATCTGGGAGTACATAGGGTACGACCCGCCACTCAACTACCGTCGGACTCTTGATCAGTTTGCATACCCCTCCTTAAGAGACACATGGGCTCGCGATGACGATCAGATGCTCTATAAGCTTACCAAAGATCGCGCGTCCACTGGAGTTGACTTGGAACAGCTGGGACTCCAGAGGCGACAAACCACAGGATCGACATGGAGCCCGATGAACAAGCTCACGCCTTCGAGCACGGGACTGCTAGAGGATGAGGTTGATACCGATGATGAGAACCAGGATCTCGATGAGGTTATCAAGGATGGCAAGGTTCTCATGGTCGATGAGCTTTGGCTGTGGGCTATTGATGCGAGTGAGTTCTCCCAGTTCGGTTCGATTGAAAGAATTCAGAACTGATAAACGCCTTAGAAACCTTAACTACATTCTTCAACAGAAGGGAATCAAAGCCAAAAGAGGGGCCCCTATTTCAGCAGGCAGACCTCAGGAACAGCGTATACAATGAGCTCAATGGCGATCTCACGGGCCGTTGTGAAAATGCACTGGATCTTGCAGCATTCATCGTACTTCATGCGATCACTGTTCTGCTCGATCGGGCTTCTCATCCTGACCTCGAGATCTTCAGAATATTTGAAGAAGCAATCAGCATGCTCGTAGGTCACCTCCAGCATCCTTCTGAGTTTCCAAGCCCTGAGACTAACGGGTACAGACCGAGCGCATGACTTCTTCCCTGAAGCACTTCCGCATGCAGACATTCAAAGACGTGGGCTTCGAATCTGACTCGGATAGCAATCGGCCGGAGTCCATCAAGAAGCGCCATAAGCGTGAGCTCGAAGAAGCCGAGCGGGAGAACCGCGAAAACACGTCGGCACTGATGGAACTCCGCGATCTAGAGGATGAACTTAAGTCCCTCGAAAGGCTATTCGAGACCCAGGATGGCGTAGTTCGAAATATGAAGGCGATCTTTGAGGGAGAAGACCTTAAAAGTGTCACGAGGAACGGGCAGATGTACCTCGAAGAAGCTCTAGCCAAGCTTGAAGAGTACAAGAGCCAGACGCTGGAGATGCTGAAGAGAGTCGACACGACGAGGAATGATGTGAGTGCTTGACATCTCAACCTGCACTGCTGAGTCTTAAGAGTCGGCTAACATGGCACAGTATGAGAAACTTTTGGAGATGGTCCAGCGTAAGGCTCAAGTAGATGAAGTTCGGTGGTCACGCCTTCAGACCGAGCTAGCCTCTTCGCAGAATCTCTCAGTCATGATTTTCACCACATTCACCGTCATCTTCCTCCCCTTGTCCTTCTTTACAAGCTTATTCGGCATGAACACAGTCGAATGGGATGCTCAGCTTCCAACTATTGGCTTCATCGGTGCCGTTTCGCTGCCCCTATCCGTGTTCATCATTGCAGCGGCGCTTATTGCGGCGTTCAGTAGTCGTGTGCAAGGATTCGTTCGGATGGGATACAAGGGTGGTAAAAAGGTCGTTGTGCTTGTGGCGTCCAGCATCAAGAAGATTGTACCACGAAAGAAGAGGGAGAAGAGACGCGTCAACAAGGTGGAACGGGAAGAGAGGAGAACGAGGAGGAAAGATGGTGGGTATGACTTTTGGGAGAATGTAAGGAGGGAAAGGGCGAGTGAGTATCGTATCCCGGAAGTTAATCGCAACAAGGCGAAAACATGATATCAGTGAGGGGTCAGGGACAGTCACTCAATCAATGATATTCGTTAAAATTATTTACAAGAATTTAGATGACTTTAGAATATTGTTGCGGGCAGACTTTTGACGCCAACATAGTTCAGCAGCTCGCCCTTCAATATAACGGGCATCCTAGCGACGGACTTCCAAATTTAGGTACACAGTAGCCCTGGGTCACCGTCCCACCCGTGAATGTGCTGGCAGCATTCTTCTTCGATGCTCCATACGTCGCCTGGTTCGTCGTTTGAACGTACTCAGTTTGGGGAACGCACTGCAAGTTGAGATCGCCGCATTTGTTCTCTGCAAGCGAGCACAACGGGAGACAAGCACACGGGATATTGCCTGCCGGGCTATTTGCACAGGAAACCGGGACATTTAGCCACGCTTTCCCGCCCAAAGGGCATCTCAAGTTAGGATTGGCGTCGCAAGCTTGGGGCGTCACCTTCTTTCCAATGTTGCCCTGCCCCGCTGGGAGTCCGTTAGGAGTCTCCGGGTCATAGTCAACAGTGAACTCGATCGCCGTCTTAAGTGTGGACAGCGGAACTGGAGTGGCTTTGGGCGGCGCTTTTGGTACCGCGCCGTTGCGGGCCGTGTACCCTGTCGAACCTTCAACGCATATGGTGTCATCCTCAAAAGCTGCGCGAGCAACGTCTCGCCATAGAGCAGTCATGTTATTGACATTGTCGAGAGTGTAGTACAAACGACAGTCAGCCGCAGAGTAGCGGAACTGGAGCGGGGTCGAGACGTCGTCCGCGCGAAGCTGGTCTCGGAGGTTGAAGGCCGCGTAACTGACGTACATGCCCGACTCGCGAACGTCCGGTAGTCTGGTCGCAGCAGTCTCGTCCTTTTCCCGTGCAAAGGCGAAGTCGGCGTCGAGAAAGTCTCCAGAGTAGATGCGGGCTCCACGAGTACCGCCCGCCGCTTGCATTGGGCCGGGCTTGGGCGCACCGCCTACAACGATGGTGCGGGCTTTGCCTTGAGTGGTAGCGACTTCGAGGAAGAGAGCGCAAGCGGATGAACAGGCACCATCGGTGAGCTGCGAGCCGTGTTAGTCAAGAGGTTCTGTAATATCGTGAACCAGCCGGTTCATGGCGATAGGTGTCTTGACTTACAATAACGATGTTTCCAGGCTCGAATGGCGGCGACTCGCCAACATCTTTGTTGTCAATATAGCGGGTCATCAGCCAGCCGTCAAAAGCGGCTTGGTGGAAATACGGATTCGACAGATCGTAGCGTTCCTTGTGTGCATGTAAGCTAAGAGCTTTCCAGGATACTTATATATTCTTTTGTTTCGATGTCAACTTACCACCAAGCTGAAGTCGTCGTCCTTGTATCTTCTCGGGCCTTCATACTCCTGCCATGATGTGAAGTTCTCATTGGTCTCTGCGTTCAAGCGAGACGTGATAACCCACTCATCTGCCACGAGTTCGACCTTTGTCTTGAACTCTGTCGAGTTACTGGTTGGAAGTCCCTCCCAGTAGTTCGTCGTTGCAGTGCCTAGAACATTGGCCATGTCAAAGCTGCGTCTCCGGCTTCCGGCGAAGGGGTCGATGCCAGGGAACAAGTCCCGTAGCAAGAGAAGCGCAAGACCCGTTGTGCCACCATAGTTATTCGTGAGATCAATCACAAGCTTAGAAAGGCTTCTGTTCTGGGCACCCTCGAGAAACGTGTCGACAGCCAAGCTGAAGTTGCCAATGTCCCACCCATACTGGTCAAAGTGCGGAATACTGAGCACGGCGGTGGAGATGTCCTCATAGAAGTATCCGGTCACGACACCGCCGTTTCCAGTCGCGTCCAAGTTGTTCTGCACGACATCCGGGTTGGGCGGGAATGCTCCCAGACTCTCGTTGTAGAAGCTTCGGCGTTGTTGCTGCGGCACTGGGTTGAAGGTGCCGCTTGACGGTTCACCGCCTCCAAACGCAGGCGGCAGCGGAACTTCACCATAGGATGCAGGCAATAGTCCGAGGACGAAGTAGTTGTAGAAGTCACCGCCGGTTGTCAGAGGACCAGTGAAATCTGGGTTGTTGTAGATTGCAACCCAGTACGTCTCTTCGACAGCGACTGCGTTCAGATTGGGATCTTCGTAGGTGAAATTCAGCGAGTCCCCTGGGTAGAAGGTGCCGCTGCCAGCAAAAATGTTCAACGCCCCTATGATATCCTGTACAGGGTTGCCCATGATCTGGTTCCAGTCGGCGTGGGGTTCAAGCATGCCGACTGAGTTCAGAGCAGCGTAGCGAGTTAGGAAATCGACAATGGGTTCGTCATTAATGTGAGAGATGGCGGAAATCTGAGTTCCATTGTCTCGATAATCGCGGACCTGAGCTTGAGTTCAAAGTTAGTAATGCCTACACAAGGTTCCGGGCCAGAGCCACTCACATTCAAAGTACACCTTCGGGGTTTCCTTGCCGTCGATTGATGCAGTGACGAGTGACCAGGGACTGGAAAAGGAGAAGGCTGAGAGAATTCCAGCGGCAAGATCGACATGGGCATCATGAACTGAGTAGACCAAAAGCTGTAGATCGGCCTCAAACTGGTACTGGTTCTTATAGACACCTGAAGTTACGTTCGCCTTCAAGTATTCCAACCCTTGGTTAAGGTCAAACGCGGGTTGTTGATAACCCTCGGGAGGGTTCTTGAGGTATGCCAATGTACTTTGAAACTGCATAGTCGTGTTGTAATATTCGATAAAGCGAAGTGCCACGGCATCGTTGAAGGGAACGCTAGTCAAGCAAAGATATACGTCCGAGGCATAGAAGATCCGATATCCTGCGTTTTGATCAACATCAAGGAGAAATCAACTCTGCATAAACGATACTTACCATCATTGACAGCCTCAATGATCTCGCCACATATCGATTGTGGTGGAACAGGCGCATCCTGTCGTCGTGGCAAACTCTTCGGAGCCTCAGACGGGCGAGCAACCACGGCACTTAAGCAGTGGCTCAGCAGCAATAAAGGGACTTTGAACAGCATTTTGACTTGACTTCAACCAAACGGTGGTTGATTTGACTTGCAAAAATCTCTTGAACACAAAATCTAACAATGGCATGGCTGCAATCCTCTTATCAATCAGGTTCCATCAGTGAGGCAAAAAGCAAAGGTCTGCACCTGCGGGCGCCATTTCCCATCTAAGATTAGACATCCGGCCCCCATGACCCTGCTAGGCAATCGTAAATCCAGAGCCTGGGGACCAGACTGCTGGGCTGCATCGAGGCTGCATATAGTGCGGCCCGATGTAACCATTGCTTCTTCGAATGTGGAATACCAGACGTAGAGCCCGTCATCGACCAGTTCTCCAAGGCTACGCGAGACTAGGCAACACCATTCCCAACTTGAGGCATGCAACAGCCATGAAGTCACAACTATTTCACCAGTGCACATCGACGAGGCCAGGTATTCTCCTATCTACATCAAATTATGTGTAAGTCGCTTCAGAGAACTTCGAAGTACACCGTCAACCCTCTGTATCTGAAAATGAGCTCACGATGCATCAATGTCAATAGAAAAGAATAGCTCCAAGGGATGTGCCAACGGCTTGTGGCTGCGGCCCGTCGTTGTAGCATGAGTGGGACCTGCTTCTAGGGCTGGGCTGCTTATCACGCGATAAGTCCAGTCAATAAGACATGTGGCTTGTCTGGGTCCCGTAGGATTCACGGCTGAGATGTAAGTCAGCACTTAAGCATATTGGTTTGATTAGTTTGGTACGCAAGGGAAGATGATTTTGCGTGAGATTCCAGCAACTCGGTGAGGCGCAGCCCCTGCAGCTGCATGAGTAGCTTGATTTTCCCCTCTACAACCCCGGTAGTATCAACACACGCGATTTTACGAACCGCCAGAAACGGTAAGATTGTACGCCTGCTGGTAAGGCGCTGCTAGGCAGCCGTCAAATCTCTGCACCCGTTTTTTTGGTGACACAAGGCGCTTGCAGACCCGGAAGTGGGTGTGATGAAGTCGATGGTTCTGCTCACCACGTGCATCTTCGAGCACGGCGATTTTCTAGAGGTGGAACTCATTGAGTTTCTTGAACGGGTGGCCTTTTCGCGACTCACGCTGATCCGATATTTCTTTCCCGTTGAGGAGCCCTATCCGTAGCGTCCGGTGGCACGGTGATCGAAAGAAACTTAACCAACGTTTCTTGAATGTCGGAAGCCCGCCGGCTCCGTTGAAGATTTGAACTCTGCTGCTCTGCTGGGGCCAAGATACAGCCGTTGCGCCGTTTCGACCCTGAGCCTTCCAATACTAGTACCGAAACGGAGACCCTAAAACATGGACGCCGTTGAAGCAGAAGAAGTGCACCATCCCGCGGTGAGGGAACTGTTCGAGAGCAGGTCAGAAATGCACCCCGCATTGAGCGAGTCGCACGAACCGGGCGCGGATATCTGGCAGCCACTGTGGGACTGGGTGTTCATGAACGACATCTTTCAATGCTGGCAACGGGATGACAACAAGTGGATGCTGCGCTGTGTTGGTAGACCAGGGTCAGGCAAGGTGCGTACAAGTTGTTTCTTGTTTTACGTTTTCCCTGGCATTTTGCTTTGCATCTCCTTCCTTTGTTTTGCAGGTCGCAGTTTGCAGTTTGCATAAAGGTCATGGGCCTCCAGATCGTCCCAAGGGTTGTTCGGATGCCAAGACGCTGGTTGGTGATGCATCACACTGATAGAATTCATGCGCTGATTACCTACTTGCTTACTTACAACTCGTGCCATTTCAGACGACCTTGTCCGCGCTGGCGACCAAGAGGTTGAGAGAACAGTACCATGGGGAGAGGGAAGCCGTCGCCTCAGTTTTTGTGCGGACGGACGTGGCCTCGGGCGGTACCGCCTTTGTGGAAGACGTTCTGACGAGCATATTCCACCAACTGTGCGTCAACCACACACAGGTCGACGAGGACGAAGCGTACGTCGCAAAGTATCGACTTTACCTCGACGCTAGGAAGCACGGTCATCGCGACATCTTCCGGATTAAGCTTATGCGAGAGGCGTTGC